AACCGCATGCCAGTATCTGGAGCATGGATCAGGGGATCAGAGGGTACCACTGGATCTATTCATTTGTTCCTCTTCCCAACACAGCCACACTTAATAAACATCCCTTCTCAGATTTTCACCATTACTTGCATCTTTTATTGCCCTATTGGGGACAGGTAGCTAATCTACCTTGGCAGGCTAGCAGATCAAGCTTTGATGATAACAACTCTGGTAGCAACTTGACACCTTTATTCATCCTGTCTATTAACTGTGAGCAAAGTACCTGAGATATATCAGCCCCAAATTCTTCACAGCACAGAGCTTAAATCTGGCAATGGTAGAATAGTTGTCTAGCTTACAGAAGCTAGCCATGATGAGGTGTGTGGGAACAAAGTTGGCATTAGTGGGGGTGTAGAGAAACAGACTTTAAAGGTTGAGGAAAAATTGACAGTCTAAAAAAATGAAAGTTTCAGATTATCACTTTCTGACACTTTCCCCAAATATTCTTTCCTTAATAATGGAGAATTTTTTAATTGATAACATTAGTGCCCAGTCAGACATATCCCATCCCTTGTTCTGTTATAGCTAAGTGTGCATATCACCAAATTCCAGTCAAGTGGATTGGAGTAGAAGTGACATTTAAGTTTTCTGCTCAGTGCCCTTAAAAGCAGCATTTTCTTCTGCCCTTGGAGTCTGTGGAATTAAAGATATTGATGGAGTCACCATTTGGACCATCAAACATAAGAAGCACTAAGCAACAAGATCAAGCTTCATGCCAACTCACAAATTCTACCCAGATTGATTTATCTGTGTAATTCTATCTTTTTTTTTAAAGTCTCTGTATTTGTAGTTCATTTTGTCAGATTGGCCTGACCTCATCTAACAAATACAAATTCTTTTAGCTGTTCTCAGCACATAGCCCTAATATTTCTCAGCTGTTTTAGCATGTAACAATAGCAGGCTCATGAAGACAGGGCAGTATTCAAAGGGAAAGACTGACTTTCAACCTGGTTTTGCTCATTTAGTCTTGAAATATTCAAATAGCATTTGAGCTTTTTTTAACTCCCTGTACCAGAGAGCCCGAGACTCAGGTCTAGATAAACTGCATAAGAAACTCATGTTTAGTTAGTAACCCACTGTTTCCCTTTCAGTCAGGAATCCCGATTCTCTATCATATTTAACACTGAAGTCTCGGGAAAGCATATTAGTCACATCACCAATAAACCTCTACTTCAAGAAGCAAGTCTGTGAGGAGATACTTCCCCCATTTAAGGAGAGGAAAAGTCAAGTTCTGAGCTGACACTAACTAAAAATAGGCACTTCAAACACCAAATGTATGTGTTGGACTCTAATAGATCCTCCACTGAATGCTAAAGTGATTCTGCTGACCCCTGTGCATCCCCAGAATCTTAGCCCCTGCTTCTGTGTTGGCTTCCTGAACTGAAATACCTTCCTGAACTGAAATATCCCAAGTATGCATGGAAAGGTGTTTCTGTTCTGTCTTGAAGTATCACAAGGTCTATTGCATGGAATATGCCAGTCAACAATCAGTGTGATGGGAGATATCACTCTGTATATATGTTTCTCATACTGGTTAATGAATAAAGCACTGTTGGACAATAGGAAAGGAAGATAGGAGGGACTAGGAGACAAGGAGGAAAGAGGAAATAGTAAGGGGGAGTCAAGATGGAAAGTCTGGAGAAAGCAGAACCGCCAGCTGCCTCTCCCTGATAAGACCACGTGGAAATACATAGAAATGGGTTAATAATTAAGAGAGCTAGCTGTTAAGAAACTAGTACCTGGCCAACAGCATTTATCAAATACAGAGTCTCGGTGTGTTAATTGGGGCTGGCGCGGCGGTGGAACAAGACTTGCGGCAGGAGGAAAAACCTTACACCTTACAATCAGTGGCTTAAGTACCTATTTCATCCATTCTTTCCTTAAACATTAAGTTCAGGAGATAAAACAAAACAAAACAAACAACAACCAAAACAAAATGAAAAGACCAAACCAACCAACCAAACAAACAAACAAACAAAAACCCTGCCAAAAAAGCAGATGACTGATCCAGTAGCATGTTATTAAAGGAAAAAAAAGTCACTGCCAGTGTTAGGTCAAAGAGAGAGGTTGGTGCACTTTGGGAAAAAAACACAGACTGCTTTGTTGAAAGACTGAAAATCTTGAATTATTAGGATCAAGTAAGTGTGCAACTTCCACAAAAGGCCATGGTCAATGAGAATGTAGTCAATGAGAGCTGGACTGCTAAATTGCCACATCAATGTTGACACAGTTGAGGAGGAAGGGCTGTGACTCAAGATAACTCAAGGGCAAATAGTTATTGAATGTCAAATCAGGCAGAGAGAACCTCATCTGACAGGCCAATCTTCATCCTCAAGAAGATCATGGTGTACTGTGGGAAAAATCTAGTCATCCACAGTAGAAGTATGCCCAGTGCCAAAGGAAATGGTGAAAAGTTAAATGCCAAGGGGTTCACATTCAGAGTGGATGAGGATGGCCTTTACATGGGCCACAGAGAAGCACCATAACCAGCATGGTCAGGACACGACAATGCCAGACCCAGAAGACGATGGTAACCACAGGAGAACAGCTGTGCCTACCCTCACCCCTCCCCCAATGAGAAGCCCATCTTCTGCAAACAATTCCTTCGCTAGTTCACCCTCTAGTTTCAATATAACAATCTGCCAAAAATGGAACACACAGTAAATGGATGCAGAGCATGAGCTAAATTGCTAGATCCCCAAGGAGCTTCTTTACAATAGTGTGTTCTAGGCACAAATGCACAAAACTTAATTTCAATCTTTGCCCTCAAGGAGTTTGCATTCTCGAAAAAAAGTTCACTCACAGACCTGCCTACTAACCATACCACTGAAGGACCTTGCAAAGCTATCCATTTTGTTGTTGTTGTTGTTTTTCCTCTCTGGTACCTTGTTGCCCTGTTTAACCTCATTGCAATTGTCCCATCTGGCTGAGGGAAATCCTGAAGCCTTCTCTGGGAACACCAAATTCTAGGGTCATCAGAGGGAAGAGCAGGGCATATGAGCAGCTCCCTGGAGAACAGCTTCTTCATTGCAGAAGAAGGATGTAACTGGCTCTAAGTAGCATTGTAGATATCCTCCTCATCTCTAACCATGGTCAAGCATCTTCAAAAATGTATGGATTTATGAAAATGGCAGGCTGCATGCATTTATGAATAGAATTCCATTTTTATTACTTGGGAAGGAAGGTAAGTCACTTGGACAGCTTACAAAGGGGACAAGAATATTTTTAGGGGGCCAAAACCCAGGACTAAGAACATTATTTTCTTAACTACTCATGAAGCAATAACTGCTTGTTGTTAATGTACCCATACATCTAAGGCAATTGTTTTAATAATTGGAGCCTATAGTAGTAATATATTACTTTGCTCATCAGAATTCATCTCTCTTACATCTTATGACTTACAAAAGGTTTATTGTGGGGAACTGTATCTCTTCTATTCTAAGGCAGTTGGTATGGGTGACCATACCTTAAACCTTATTCTGGGTGGAGACTCCAATTGGCTTTAGTTCCTGGTGACTGGCCTGGAAAATGGAAGAAAATCCAAGCAGAGTCCATAAGTGAGAACTGACCTACTTAGACTTCATGTAATGGCTGCTGTTGAAGCTGACATCACAAAGCCAGAGTAGACCAGAGCACCACCGCACCCTTGGGGCAATCACCTCTGCTTCTCCATCAATTCTTACCTGCAGCCCTTTTTTTTAGATTTTGTTTCTGTAAAGGAACTTTTTTGTTTGCTTAAAGCTGTCTGCACCTTCTAACATTACAGAAGCGATTCAAACCAATGTAAATACCTTAAGTGCTTTGGAAAGAAGTAGTGTACAGAGAAGTCAGGGCCTCTTTGGAGAGCAGGGGATCAGTGTGATCCGCAAAAACTGAGCAAAAAGACTTTCCTTGATTTCTATTAACGCTGCAGGAAACAACCCATACTACGGCATGATTGGTCCCACCCCTTAAAATCACATTTTCTATACAGGTTGCCTCATTTGAATTTCACTATTCTGAATCAGAGAAACTTAACTTTTTTCTTTCTTTTTTTTTTTAAACTTCACACATGAGGATTATTGCTTTTTTATTTGTGGTAATTGCTTAGCCAGTACTTCTTATAGTTTAAAATATTACCTCAAATCCACTTGTTTTAAAAATTTTCACTATAACCAAATGAGATTGGAATGGTGGGTCTATCATTCATTTTAGGCTGAAGAAAGTTGAGCCTCCTAGTTAAAAGTGGGGAGATGGGGTTGCGGGACTAGCTTTAGTCTTGGCTTCCGGGTTCCTGTCTATCACAAGTCCTCTGAACCAAAGATAGGAACTTCCAGAGGAAGAGGGTACATTCCTAGGTTAATATGCAGGTGTTTGCAGTGGGCTGGACACTGCATTAAAGATCTGAATTTGATCACATTGGCCAAGTCACCTTTGTTCCACTTCCTGTTCTAGGACCAGTTTGAACTCAGTTATCCGATGTTCCTTCCAGTGCTAAAAAGATCTACTGTTCTAGACCTGCCTTCCAGATTCATGTTCCACACTGGCCGATATTTATTATCTCACTTGTGCCCGAGTCTACGCTAAGAATTCTGCCTTCATTTTCCTTTTAATGCTTACAATGTTCCTAAGAAATCTCTATCACATACAGAAACTTTAATTCCCAGAGGTCAAAGGAAATGTCCTCAAGATCTGTTGGAAATCTGACTCTCTCTAGGTCAGAGGGACCATCGCGGACCTCCACTAAGTCTGTATTAGTTTTGCTGAAGAAATTAAGGTCTGCATAACCTATAGCCTCTCTCCGTGTCAAAAGGGAGAGAGAAGGGAACGAACAGGCCAAAACAAATGGAGCAATCTCCTCTAGGCAAAACCAGAAGAGCTTTGGAAGGAAGCCAGAGGCTTCTTTCCAGGCCCGGGGGCGGGGCGTCCTTCTCTCTAGCCACAGGATCCTACGTCCCACCCTTCCAGGCCCAGACTATTACCTTGTTGAGATGAGGGTTTCTGGTGACATCGTATCCTCGCTTCTTCAGGGGCACGGGGCGAGGCGAGCCCGACTTTGAGTGGTAGCCCTGGGCGGGCACGGAGGGTGCCTGGCGCCGGAGAGTGCCGCAGGCCAGGCGTGGCAGGGAGGCCAGCCGCGGGCTAGTGATCAGCGCTGCACCCATGGTCCTGGCGCAGATCTGGAACCAGGGAGAGACCAAGGTCAGAGGTGCCCTCTAGCCAAGCAAGGTCCTGCGAGCCAGCAAAGCGCGGGGCCAGAGTCAGGACGCGTATTCTTGGAGAGGCTGGGGGCTCCTGATGGGTTCCAGGCGCCAGCCTTGGCCCCTATTCCGAGGCCACCTGCTCCAGGTTCCGTGGCGATGCCGGGAGCCTCAGCCTCACCAGGCAAAGCGAAAGCAAGCTCAGAGAGCAGATCCCCTGCAGATGACAACCCGTTCCATCCCTGCCCCCAAACAGGAGAATGCGCAACTGCGCTCCCAGGGGTCTCCATACTTTCAATCCTTGTGGTCAGCTTTGGTTCGTCCTTCCTCTCTCACCTGTCTAGCTGAAGCCTATGTGGTCCCACTGCGGGCAGGTGGGCCTAGGCGCTACTGTCCCCTGTCACTCTCCGATCAAAGACTGCACCGCACAGGCAGCAGCGTGACTGGTGCTTACAGGAAAAGCGGTTCCCAAACCTTTCCTCTTAGTACCAGATTTCCTTTAAGGATGCCTGTGCAGCATCAAAGACAAGATGAAGTTTAATGTCGGTTCACCCTGGCACTCTCCATCAAGAGAGCACTAAATTGCACTAAGGGGTGAACGCTGAAGGATCAACAATCCTCCTTTGCTTCCCTATTGAGCACGGTCCTGAACAAGAATGCTGTCCAGTATAATAACCATAAGCCGCATGTGGCTGGAAGTTTTTAATAAATTCCTCTAAATAAAGTACAATTGTGAACCCCTTTGCTCTGTCTTGTTTTTGTTTGCTCGTTTTTTTTTTGTTTTGTTTTTTTGTTTTGTTTTTTGTTTTTTTGGCAGTTGAGGTGCTGAACACTCCCAGCTTTGAAGAAAGTCCCTCAGTTCCTAAGTGGGCTCCTAGGACCCCCATGCCTCTGGCCATAGATGTTAGGGTCACGCCCACACTTTCATGTCCACCTATCCCTGAATTTAAATGTGTACTTCCTCTACACAGTAGCCAAGAGATTCCTTCTACAGCAAGTATTTCATTGTGTGTGAGCTAACATCCAAGTCCTCAGGAGGCCTTTTGGTTAACCACAGCCTGGCTCCTGCCAACTTCGCAAGTTCATCCTGCTTCCCTCTGCATTGCCCTTGAGGTCTCCTCTTGGTTTGTCTCTCCAACTTATTCAGTTCCCAGCCTCCACCTGAGGACCTTTGCATCTGCCATCACTTTTACATCCTCCAACTTTCCAAACAACTCACAATCTCATCTCTCAGGTTATCCTTAATTGGTCAACTTGGAGGCCATTATTCTAGTTATTCCATTCAGTGTTGCCCATCCCCAGGGGATATACAAGAAAAGGGTTTTTCCCTACATGTAACCATTGCTCTGGTGGTTCATTTTCTACTTTCCACCCTTAAAATACAGGCTTCGCTGGCCTAGAGTCTCTGCCTGTAAATCCATTTGTCCTCAGAGCCTGGCATGTCTCTGTATAGTAAAATAAAATAGTTGTTTGGTGAGTGAAGGTGAGTGACCATTCTGTTCACCAGGACTACGGACTCTCAGAATGGCTGCCAGACAGATGGTATGCTTCTCTTAGGCTTCTCTTTGAACCTCCCTCCATTCTCATGTCCCAAGTGCAAAGTAGGCATGATGATGTTCTTGGGGTCCTCCGCTGGGGCTCAGGATTCACTCTCCTCAAGAATGATGACCTTTCTTTGAAGTCTCTTTCCTCTCTGCTCCAATTTCCAATTCTCTGTCGGAATGACCTATATTAAACCAAGCTTCTTAGAGCAGGATCAGACTTCCCTGTTGAAAGAGCCAAGGTCAACAGATTTTTAAGGTTGCAAAGAGGTTAAATGCCTGGTTAGGATTAGTCTTAGGCTGGATACTTACACAAGCCTAGCAGTGGTATTTTAATTAACAAAGCAAACTTCAGTTAGTTTTTATAGTCTGTAACCAAGAGCATTAACTTTTTTTCAATACTATTTTTACATTTGCATATATCACCAAAAATTGTCAAACATCTTGAGGACAGAGATTGCCTATGCATGTTTCTTTCTTCATTAGTTAGTAGAGAGCAAGTCACCAGAAGTTGTTCATTCAATGACTATACCCTTGTTCAACACAATGATCTTTTCCATGCTTGGGTGTAAACCCAATCCCTTGAACCCCAGCTAGAAACAAAGACACAGGTAACAGAAGTTTTCAAACAAGTAAATATAACTCTTTCCTTTTTAAATTTAAATTAGAAACAATCTTATTTTATATATCAATCCCAGTTCTCTCTCTCTCCTTCCCTCCCATGTCCCCCACTAACCTCCATCCCATCCCTCTTCTGCTCCATAGAAAGGGTGAGGTCTTCCATGAGGGAGCATCAAAGTCTGTTGATATTTTGTGGAAATCAAGATTCACTAGACTCAGTACAGGTTAAGTGAAGTTTTTCCGGGAGAATGCACTTACACGAGAAGTTCCAGCTCCAAGGATTCACAAAGTCTGCCCTCTGTGACCCAACCAAAAGCAAGAGAGCCACCTGTGGCCCCACCCCAGACATAAAACCATTCTCCCTCATGCAGAACATGTGACTACGCCCAAATGGGTGTGGTCAGTGCTACAGATATTACACTACAATTCCTCTTTTAATCTAAAGAAAAAGATTTAGGTTTGATAGAAAACTATATATAAAGATATCAAATATCAAGTATGCTCTAGGAGAAGGAAATGTAAGAACATACACATTTAAGACCTATTGCCAGTGAAGAAACAAGAGCAAATGGCAAGAACTACATATCACATCATTAGGGGCAGGGCCTAGGCGTGTCTAGGCTGAGAGAGTATCCCTTTATGGATAATGGGCTTCCAAAGTTCATTCATACACTAGGGATAAATGCTGTTCCTTCCTCTACCAGAGGCCCCATAGACTGCCCAGGTCTCCTAACTGACACCCATGTTCAGGGGGCCTGGTTCCATCCTATGCTGGTTTTCGAGCTGTCAGTCTGGGGTCCATGATCTCCCCTTGTTCATGTCAGTTGTTTCTGTAGGTTTCTGCAGCCTGTCCTTGACCCCTTTGCTCATCACTTCTTTGTCTCTACAACTGTATTCCAAGAGTTGGTACAGTGCTTAGCTGCGGGTCTCTGCTTCTGCTTATATCAGTTACTGGATTTAGGCTCTAGGATGGCATATAAGGTAGCCATCAATCTCATTGTAGAGGAAGGGATTTAAGATAGCCTCTCCACTATTGCTTAGATTCTTAGTTGGGGTCATCCTAGTATATCTTTGAACATTCCCCTAGTGCCAGATTTCTCATTAAACCTAGAATGACTCCTTGTATTAAGGTATCTCTTTTCTAGTTCTCTATTTTCCCCCCTGCCTCAATCTTCCTGATCCCTCATGTTCTCTTCCCTGCTCCTCTTCTCCCCTTATCTTTCTCCTAACTCCCTTTCCCCCAACTACTCCCCTTCCCATGTTCCCAATTTGTTCAGGAGATCTTATTCCTTTCCCATTCTCTGGGAGACTACGTATGTCTATCTTAGGATCCTCCTTGTTTCTTAGCTTTTTTTGGAGGTGTGGATTGCAAGCTGGTACTCCTTTGCTGTATGTCTAATATCCATATATGAGTGAGTACCTACATGTTTGCATTTTTGTGACTGGGTTACCACTCAGGATGGTTTCTTCTAGTTCCATCCATTTGCCTGCAAATTCCAAGATTCCTTTTTTTTTTTTTCTGATCAATACTCCATTGTGTAAATGTACCATGTACCACATTTTCCTTATCCATTCTTCAGCTGAGGGGTGAGGGGCATTTAGGCTGCTTCCAGGTTCTGGCTATTACAAATAATGCTGCTATGAACATAGTTAAACAGATTTTCAAAGTGGATGTACAAGTTTGCATTCCCACCAGCAGTGGAGGAGTGTTCCCCTTTCTTCACATTTTTTCCAGCATAAAACTGTCATTGGTGTTTTTGATTTTAGCCATTTTGACAGGTGTAAGATGGTATCTCAGAGTTGTTTTGATTTGCATTTTCCTTATTGCTAAGGATGTTGACCACTTTCTTAAGTGTCTTCCTGCCATTTTAGAGTTCACTATTGAGAATTCTCTATTTAGTTCTGTACCCTACTTTTAAATCAGATTGCTTGGTACTTTGGTGACTAGCTTCTTGAGTTCTTTGTATATTTTGGAAATTAGTCCTCTGACAGATGTGGGGTTGGTGAAGATCTTTTCCCATTCTGTGGGCTGCTATTTTGTCTTGTTGACTGCGTACTTTGCCTTACAGAAGTTTCTCAGTTTCAGGAGGTCCCATTTATTAATTGTCGACCTCATTGTCTGCGCTATTGGGGTTATGTTCAGGAAGCAGTCTCTTGTACCAATTCATTCAAAGGTAGTGCCTTCCACTTTCTCTTCTAAGAGGTGCAGTGTGGCTGGATTTATGTTGAGGTCTTTTATCCATTTGGACTTAAGTTTTGTGCATGGCGATAGATGTGGATCTATCTGCAGTCTTCTACAAGTCAGCATCCAGTTAGGCCACCACCATTTGTTGAAGATACTTTCTTTTTTCCATTAGCTTCTTTGTCAAAAATCAGGTGTTCATAGGTGTGTGGGTTTTATCTGGGTTTTCAATTCAGTTCCATTGGTCTACCTGTCTATTTTTGGGCCAATATCAAGCTGATTTCAGAACTATAGCTCTATAATAGAATTTAAAGTCAGGGATGGTGATGTCTCTGGAAATTCCTTTATTGTACAAGGTAGTTTTGGCTACCTTGGATTTTTTGTTTTTCCATATAAAGTTGAGGATTGTTCTTTCAAGGTCTGTGAAGAATTGTGCCAGTATTTTGATGGGATTGCATTGAATCTGTAGATTGCTTTTGGCAAGATTGCCATTTTTACTATGTTGATCCTACCTATCCAAGAGCATGGGAGATCTTTCCATTTTCTGGTATCATTTTTAAAGATTCAAAGTTTTTATTATACAGGTCTTTCACTTGTTTGGTTAGTATTACCCCAAGCTATTTTATGTTGTTTGTGGCTATTGTAAAGGGTGATGTTTCTCTGATTTCTTTCTTAGCCCCTTTATCGTCTGTATATAGTAAGACTACTGATATTTTTGAGTTCATCTT